TAAGGTTTATCTGCAACCCCAAACTTAGAAATTGAGAGCAAATATATCAGAACAAAAGAGATTACAGCGTATCCCGCAGTTTTGAGAGCATATGTTTATACATGTGTAGCCCTACATATTCGTCGCTGTCTCGAGTGCCCCTTTCTTCTCAAAACTTAAATAGAATATTTTTAAAATATATCTTAGTTTGGGGTAGCAGATAAACCCTAGACAAGAGAGAGAATATATTTCAAGTTTCTTCCAGTTTGATCTGATGCTTTGACCTGTAACAAGATTCTATTATATCTTTCTTCTATTTACAATTTTCCCGTAGTGCAAACAAGCCCACTCCTGCAGTGACATTGACCCAAATTGGGCACTTAGTCACTTTTGATGTGACATCTATCACGGGACTAAGAAATTCCATCACACTAGGCTTTCAAAACGCAGGGAAATCCCTTTCTGATGGATTCTTTGCCCTTTCTGAGTAGCTTCCAGCCGAAGCCCAGCACAGGTACCAACTTTCGATAATTTCTGGGCGGTTTTGACCTGTTTTTCTCCTTAAATGTTGCAGTTTTTTGGTCGAAAATTTTGGCCACACCCAATTCCTCGTGGGAAAAACTTCGGAGGTGTGTTTTTCGACGTATTTCGCAAATCCGAGCCAGAATCTGGAAAAATCTCAACTCGAGATACATTGGCTTTGCTTGTCCACGACTGTAGCATTTCTGCTGTCAGGTATCAGGGCGATCTCTATATGTTCTGAAGCTCCCAAGGTACGCGATCATGACCTTGATGTAAAATGTGGAGAAATCCAAAGACAGACTTACTTGAGGAGCCGAAATTACCGCTGGCTGTGCTGGCGAGTTCTTCCATCGCAATCGACGCTTCCGATACTGATCTTCAAAAGATGGCCCTTCATCGATAGACAGCGCTGTGCGCACGGCCTCCAGGGACAGGACTAGATGAACATTTGCTATTTGGACCATTTTGTCGTTTCTGAATGAACTCGCAGCGAGCCAACTTGGATTTGCGAAAGTGTTTTGAGCAAGTTTGAAAATCGCACGAATACGTACCAAATTAAACTTGTACCAAACAAACAAACATAAAATGAAAATAATCTAATCTAATCTGTCCATTTGTGGCACTTCGGAAGGCACCCAAGTGTTGTCTTTTCTTACTCTCGCAGACAGACCACGGCGGTACAAGTGAATTTTTTGGATTTGCAGGGTTCACGTGGTCTTTTCTCTTCTTCCGATTGACTAACTAATGGAACTTGTAGTAGTACGTAGTACCTGTTCTGACCCCCTAGAAGACAACGAATTTTGAACGAATCACTTCAATTTGGGACTTGTGACCTTCACTCCAACGCTCCATCCTGTCTTGAGAACCTCTTGAAACATCTCAGTAAGATGCTTGAAGGGGAGACTGTCACTCAATGAAGGGAGAATGCGTGGCCATATACGCTCTTCCAACGCTCTTCCCGGACATCTGTGTGACAGGCGCCAATTATATTCGGTTCACCCATTCATCTAACGTGCTAGACGAGCTCGAAACAGATAGTTTGCCTACAATTCTTGCCGACCAGAAAGAAGTCAATGCGAATCAAGTTAACCAAGAAATGAATATAGCTTAATGTGATCCTTCTTTCCTAGAGTTTATATCATATCCTCTACACCAGCTACCGTTCCACCCGTAAGCCAATCACCATAATACACACACTCCCTCGGATTCACAGGCCCACCGTCTTTACAGAATTCAAACGAGGGGCATAGCGCACATGGTGTCTCGGACCATCCGAGGAATATCGTTTCTGCTTTGATGGCACGGTAGACGGTGCCACCGGAGCTGGTATCGTATTCGTCAAATGCGGCTGCGGGAGAAGAAGAGCGCTTGGAGGATTTCCCCCGTTTTCGAGGACGGTCGGATTCCTCGTCGGATGACTCTTGCTTGACTTTTTTCTTCTTCTTTTTCTTCTTGTGGTCGTCGTCTGAGCTGTCATCCTCGCTGGACGAGTCACGCCTCTTCTTATTTTTCTTTTTCTTCTTCTTCACCTCTTCATCCGAATCGCAGTCATCAGAGTCGGAATCGTCCTTGGCGCGCTTTCGTCTGTGCTTCTTCCGCGAACCAGAGTCAGACGCGCTGCTCTCGTCGTCGTTGCTGCTAATGACATGCTTCTTCCGCTTCCGCTTCTTCCTCTTGTCGTCTTCATCGTCCGATTGATGTTTTCGCTTTTTCTGACTCCTCCGATCGTCGTCCGAATCTTCATCCCCAATTGCGGATGAATCCCAAAGGGCGCTGCCGAACGCTGGAAGCTGGGGTGGTGATTAGCGGGGTCAAATCGAGGAGTCGAACTCACCTTTTCTATCTTTCCGTCTAGAACCAGCACATTCAAAAGCATCTCCACGTGTTCGACTGTGAGGTCGGTCTCTGTCAGCTGCGCTTTCCGGAGAGAGTTTCTGATGTGCTGGGCGGTAGGGTATTGTGGTGCGTTGGAGATGGGATAAAGCGCTCCGGGCGCGCCTTCCTTCCGTTTGGGGAAGCTCTGTGAATGAGGAGCTCCATGGCTGTAGTTTTGATTTGTGGAAAGAGATGCTCACCAGATCGCTAATAAACTTAAAACATGCCTCCGTGAGGTTTTGAATAAACTCCGTGTCGAGCTCGTTATCAGTGTACCAAGGTCCGCCCGTCAGAGCAATGGAAGGTTCAAGGCCTTCGAGCATGTAGATCTTGCGGGTTGGGTGTTGTACAGAAGGCACGCGCTTGATGAGGCGCTTTTGCACTAGAGTTTTTAAGCATCGATCGATGACGGTTTGGTGCAGGTTCGTCTTGGCTTTCAGGTGTTTCGTCCAGATCCCTGTGCGTAGTAAAAGTTGAGTTGACGAGAGTTGATCTCGGAGGCTGGCGCTCACCTTCGGTCGCTGCAATCTTGATGTGACTTAGAACGAGGTTCTCTTCACCCGTCAGGTCTTTCGTGCTGCGAGGACGTTAGCACATGGCAACGAGATGTGTCGATAACGTACGCGACTAGCTCGTTCTTCGTCACCGCCCTGAACAATATATGCCCCTTCGGATCCTTCAGAGACTTGAACAGCCCAACTCCGAGCAAGAAATTGAGTGCATCTTGCCTGGCACTGGGATCGGAAATGATGGACTCTGCTTGTTTTGCGGTTATTTCCTGTGAAATTGTCAGAGATTTGCCAAAAAACCGCGTTCAAAGCCTTACCTTCTTTGAGGAGCTAAGCGCCGCCTGGTGAAGCCTACTTTCAAGCTCATTTGGGGGCCGTTTGCTCATCGCGAATGGGACAATATTATACAGGAGGAAGAGGGAGAAAGCACGTGACAGATGGAGATTTTTCTCTCGGTCCCGAGGCCCAATATTCCTCACTTGACATCGACCACCACCACCACCACCACCACCACCACCACCACCACCACCACCACCACCACCACCCATTCATGGCCGGGACCGACCCCAAGGACAACCCGTATCTTGCGCATCATTATAATGGAAGAAAGGGGGCAGCACCCGAGCCCGCACCAAGTCCAAGCATAAAGGAGCCGTTGTACGGTTTTTTGCCGCGAAAAGTGATCGGAGAACAAGTTCGCAAGGCTTTGGTGCGTAATTAACTCTACGCCGACCTTTCATTTATTGACATTATGTTATAGGATGGAGACATAAATCCTTTCACAAAACAGCCTCACACGCCCCAATACAAGAAGATTCTTGAAGCGCGGAAGAAACTACCTGTTTTCACACAAATGGACGAGTTCTTGAAAATCGTGAGTGGAATGGCTGAGCTAGACTCGAGGAGGGGTTTGAGTGACTATCTTTAGGGATGGAACCACCCTCCTCGTCGTCGCACTTTCTTGAATCGACGCTGATTCATTGGGACAGTTCAGCGAAAACCAGATCATCGTAATGGTCGGCGAGACAGGATCGGGGAAGACGACACAGTGCGTATAGTGAATTCAGTCATAATGGAGCCCCATCTGACCTCAAGTTGGTAGAATCCCACAATTCGTTGCTTATTCAGACTTGCCGCATACCAAAGGCAAAATTGTGGCATGCACACAGCCTAGAAGGGTGGCGGCGATGTCAGTGGCTAAACGCGTAGCTGATGAAATGGACGGTACGTTATTTTTGTCCTTCTGGTTCGACTGGACTTGCTCAACCTCCACAGTCCAGCTGGGCCGACACGTTGGTTACTCGATCCGTTTCGAAGACATGACAGAGCCTGGAACAACCTTTCTCAAATACATGACGGATGGTATGCTTTTACGCGAAGCCATGAATGACCCCAGCCTTGAGCGATATTCCACCATCATCCTTGACGAAGCCCACGAGCGCACCCTTGCCACCGATATCCTCATGGGTCTGCTTAAAGGTGTTGCCAAGAGGCGGCCTGACCTCAAAATCATTGTCATGTCGGCCACTCTCGATGCCGTCAAGTTCCAGAAATACTTCAGCCTACGCTCCGACGTCTCAGCCCCACTTTTCAAAGTCCCAGGTCGGACACATCCAGTGGAGGTCTTCTACACACAAGAGCCAGAACCCGACTATGTGGAGGCTGCTATCAGGACAGTACTCATGATTCATCGTGCGGAAGATGAAGGCGATGTTTTGTTGTTCTTGACTGGTGAAGAGGAAATCGAGGACGCATGTCGCAAGATCAAGCTAGAGGCAGACGATCTCATCAACCAAGATTCGGAGTCTGTGGGCCCCCTTATCTGCATTCCTCTTTATTCCTCTCTTCCCCCACAACAACAACAACGGATATTCGACGCACCTCCTGCTGCCCGGTCGACTGGTGGTCCACCTGGACGGAAAGTCGTTGTGTCGACGAACATCGCAGAAACGTCGCTGACAATCGACGGAATCGTTTACGTTGTAGACCCAGGCTTTTCGAAGCAAAAGGTCTACAACCCACGAATACGCGTGGAGAGCTTGCTCGTCAGCCCCATATCAAAAGCGTCAGCTCAACAGAGGGCAGGACGTGCAGGACGTACGAGGCCAGGAAAGTGCTTCCGGCTGTACACTGAGAAGGACTTTATGTCGGAGCTGGAGGAGCAGACTCATCCGGAGATTTTGAGGAGTAATCTGAGTAATACGGTGCTGGAGCTGGTGAAACTTGGAATCAAGGTCAGTTTCCATGCTTTGGGGAGACTCTGCAATCTGACGGAGTTGATTCAATAGGATCTTGTCCGATTTGACTATGTTGATGCCCCGGCACCTGAGACGCTTATGAGGGCACTAGAACTATTGAATTACCTCTCGGCTTTAGACGACGACGGGAACCTCACCGCCCTAGGTGCTACGATGGCCGAGTTTCCTCTAGACCCGCAGGTAGATACCCTCCACGCTGGGATTTTCATTCGACTAATTCTTTCAATAGCTATCGAAGCTGCTGATTGTTAGCCCAGAATTCAAATGCAGTAATGAGATGTTGACGATCACCGCGATGATGTCAGGTATGTCATGGACCTTTTCGAATGCTGCATCTTCCTGACGAACATCATCCATAGTACCCAATGTGTGGCTTCGACCGAACAATCAAAGACAACAGGCGGACGCTGCAAAGGCTCTATTGACAGTTCCTGACGGAGATCATCTGACGTTGTTGAATGTTTATAACCAGTACATGCAAAGTAAGCTATCCATCGCAAGCCCCTCTACTATTCCTTCTTATTGCCACTTCCTCCTCATCAGATATCCATGACAAGAACTGGACATGGACACACTACCTATCCCATCGTGCGCTGCAACAAGCAGACAATGTTCGTGCGCAGCTACAGCGGACAATGGAGCGCTTTGATATAGATCTGCTGTCGATGTCAGATGAGAAGAAACTGTACACTAACATTCGGAAAGCCTTGGTGTGCGGGTTCTTCATGCAAGTTGCGCACAAAAAAGAAGGAGAGAAAGGGAATTATCTCACTGTGAAGGACAACCAGGCACGTTGCTTCTCAAATTGACCCACTGGCGATTCTCACTCATCTTTGTGTAGGACGTTGGTCTCCATCCATCCTGCGGTCTGGATACCCAACCTGAGTGGGTCCTCTTCAACGAATTCGTGTTGACCACTCGGCCGTACATCCGCACCGTCTCAGAAGTCAGGCCTGAATGGTACGCTCTGACTGCTCTCAGCCGCTTTCGTGATTAACATCTCTTCTAGGCTCCTTGAATACGCCGGAAACTACTTCGATCTCTCGACCTTTCCGGATGGAGAGACGAAGCGGTCGTTGCAGCGCGTTATCAACAAGAGGGCAGGCAAGTCTTCGGAGAGGCTTGATGGGAAGGACGATCGTAAAACTAAGAAGCAAAAGAGCAATCGTTGAGCTGCCCGAGCTTCTTTGAGGTGAGGGCGCGCAGTTGATGCATCATTGAATGCTTCTATCTGTGATCCTCTTTATCGGCGGGGTGGCTGGAGCGCTCAGTCTTGGTTCTTGATGATGATGGGATGCCTGATGTTCACTAAAGTTTTCGTTGCTGTTGCCTGAAAGCGATTCGTTAGGATGGCTTGGATTGAATAAACCCCTTGTAGCCAAGCCATGCTGCGTGAAGTTACTTCTACTTATGTTGAATGTCACCCATGAATCGACGAACGATGGACTCAACAGGGACAACGATCAGATTTCGACGTCAACAACCATCTTCTTCCCACTCCTCCCATTCGCATGCAATTCCTTTAGCGAGCATTCGCATCTACCAGAGCTGTCGCAGAGTCCGAAATGAGTTGTTTTTTTTTGTTTTTTTTTTGTTGATTCGCGATCAACGGATGCGATTACATCATATTCCGTAAATCCCAGCATCATCAAGTGATTCCAGCTCTCCACGATACGCGATGTCACGCCTAGATTTGGCAATCGTGACATGCCCATCAACTTCTGCACAAACCGGATTTGACTCAGAGACTCGCAAGGCCCCCTTGAAGCAATTTCTGGTGACAACTATCTTGCCACTGCTAGCGCGCTCAGCTGACGTCTTTCAATTCAGAATACGGAAGGGGATCCCATGCGCGTTTTCTCAGATGTTTTGCTGGGGTATGTTTTACGGTTTGTGTCGCATTGGGAGGAAATAACAAAAATTGGGCCTCTCGTTTTGCTGATAGCTATCAAACCACATCTAAGCTCACTCCCTGAGTTCATCCAATGTAGGGAGAACCGAGATCCCGAATAATCTGGAGTTTGGGGTCCTGGCCAAACTTATCTCCAAGAGACTCAGAAGCACTTGGAGCAGCAACCAGGCTGTGTGTGGTACAGCGCACTTGATGATGCAGTGATTGATCAAAAAATCGAAGTCTCTATTTAAGTTGCAGGTTTCGCACAAATTGTTTATCTGAGCTTTAGCTCTCCACTCTTCCTCGTCTTTCGCAATGTCCTTTGACAAACTTTCTAATGAGAAAGGCAATGGTGCCGGGCATGGCGCTTTAGAGGCTCAGCTCCAGATCGATCTCGCTAACAATATCCAGGCAAAGTGAGTTTTGAGTTGTCCAGGCTTATCTTCGGGGATATCATCTTACAACTCACCGTCGCTCGCAGGATACAGAACCCACTACATGGCCTCTCACGAGAGCAGCTCATGGAAAATGTGGAGGAATTCGTCAAAGAGAAAGGGCTGGAAGACAAATTAGGTCTCTTTGAGAAAGCAGCTCTTCTCGCGCAGAACCCGAAAGACTTTGAGCAAATCTCCGGAATGACTGAGGAAGACAAGGAAGTTATCCGGCGAGAAACGACGCGTACGTGATCTAATATGAAGCCCCAGAACTCCACTGATATTAATTCATCAAAGATCGGTGGAGCCAGTCGCGCGAACTGTACTTGACTGTAGTCATTTGTAGTTTGGCCGCTGCAGTCCAGTGGGTATTGCGAAATTATTGTCATTCCCCACCTTGATACTCATCAGTTCATTCATACAGGGGCTGGGATCAGACTGGCTCTAACGGCGCCAACTTATCTTTCCCTCAGGCGCTTGGGATCGACAATACGCCTGGCAGCCCAAACGCTCAGAGGAATGATTGGATTGTCGGGCTCATCAACTCCGGGTACGTTTCAATTCAGCGGTCTTGCCGCCACCGTCCATGATTACCTTACTCTTATCTTGACAGCCCCTATATCGCTTCCTGCCTTCTTGGGTGTTGGCTTACCGATCCTCTGAATCACTTTTTTGGGCGTCGTGGAACCCTCTTTTTCTGTGGTATCTTCTGCATTTTAAGCGTTATTGGACAAGGGTTGGCGCAAACCTGGCCGCAGCTTTTGGTGGGACACGATTTATTATTCGATCTTGGCTCTACTCACTTAATTTTAGGTCTGTCGCTTGCTCCTAGGTTTGGGGATGGGTCCCAAAGCATCGACATCCCCTGTTTTTGCCGCCGAAAACGTCCCAGCAATTATTCGTGGGGGTCTTGTCATGTCCTGGCAGATGTGGGCAAGTACCATCTATCGTTTTGGACTTTACCTTTAGTGGTCCTGACGCCACTGATTGTAGACTGCGTTTGGCATCTTCCTCGGGTTCTCCGCCAATCTTGCTCTGCAAGGGGTGGGGAATATCGCTTGGCGACTAGAGCTTGGGTCTGCCTTCCTTCCTGCCGTTCCATTGACAATTGGTATTTATTTCTGCCCTGGTACGTCTTGTTTTTTTTCACGAGTTGTGTCACCAAGTCTTGTATTGCAGAATCTCCCCGTTGGTTGATGAAAAAAGGTCGTTACGCCGAGGCCTTCAGATCATTCTGTCGTCTCCGCAACAGTGAACTGCAAGCTGCGCGTGACTTGTACTATGTCCATTGCCAGCTCGTGGAAGAGTACAAGGTTCTTCACGGTTCCACGTACTTCACGCGCTTCCTTGAGCTTTTTACGGTTCCCCGCATACGCCGCGCGACGCTCGCCAGTTGGGTTGTGATGATTGCTCAGCAGATGTGTGGTATCAATATTATCGCCTTTTATTCATCGACAATTTTCGTACAAGCCGGGTATTCTTCTAAACAGGCTCTTTTGGCTTCGTGGGGTTTCGGTCTCATCAACTGGGTTTTCGCATTTCCTGCTGTTTGGGTATGTTTTTAGAATGATTTTTTGATGATCTTTTGACAAGGTTTACATAGACGATCGACACGTTCGGCCGTCGGAATTTGCTGTTGTTCACGTTCCCGAACATGGCCTGGACTCTCCTCGCAGCTGGATTCTGCTTCTATATCCCAGAAACGAGTCAAGCGAGGGTTCCCCTAATTGCGTTGTTCATCTTCATCTTCGCGGGTTTGTCACTCTTGTGCATGTGAGGGATCCGCTCACGTGTCATGTACAGCTTTTTATTCGCCTGGAGAGGGGCCAGTGCCGTTCACATACTCGGCGGAAGTATTCCCACTGACGCACAGAGAGATGGGTATGTCATGGGCAGTTGCGACGTGCCTATTCTGGGCTTCTGTTATCTCCTTGACGTTCCCTCGACTCCTCAGTGCTCTGGGACCAGTTGGAGCATTCGGATTTTATGCTGGCCTCAATGTTGCCGCGTTGATCATGATTTTCTTCTTGATGCCAGGTTCGCCTTGCCCTTCCATGGTCTCCTTTAACCCATATTTAGTTCCCTGCCATAGAAACAAAACAACGAACCCTCGAGGAGCTTGATTACGTCTTCGCCGTGCCTACCTCAAAGCACGCTTCATACCAGCTCCGCGAGTTCCTCCCGTACTGGATCCGACGCTACATTTTGTTTCGGAGGAGGACACAACTCAAACCTCTTTACAATTTCGACGAGGTAGAGGCGATCGCCGTCTCTGGCGTTGAGCGTCCGTAGGTGATTGTGGAGAATACTGACGCCATGAACGTTTACAATGCCGCAGTCAGACGACAGCCTCCTTCCGCTCAGTAATTGGCCGCTCTTGTTTAGCTTCTCAAAAGACACCGTATTTTTGGTATAGTCCTATCTGTAATCCATCTGTAATCAATCGTTAAGCACCTTGTGTTTTCCGGCGCAGATCTTTTCGAGTTGAGATGACTGGAACTCGCCGAGGTAATGTACACCCGATCTTGATCTAGAGGTCCTCTTTGCGGTCCAGTTGGCGTACACAGTTTACCAACGACTACCGTGAGTGCAACCCTTTCATGATCTCCAATTACCTCACCCTCTCAATGACGCTGAAGACTGGACGAAGGATGATTTCTTTCGAAAGGTACACCATTTGTTTATAATGGGCGTTTAGGCGGCTATTTGGCAAATTCCGTCGTGGACCGGACAAACATCGGAGAACCGGACTTTAGTCACACCACGATGTAGTTGAAGCTTGCTCTTATCACGGCCGCATTCACTGAGGAATCAAGCACACTCGCCCCATTTAAAGATGACGCCTCGTTGTCTTTCCGTCCCTTCACGATTCGAAGCCTGCCCTTCCTTTGTAAACGACTAAGATCATACAAGGCAGTTCGATATTCATATCCCACCCAAAGTGAGCGATCTCCGCGTGTTCCTTGAACGTTGGCTGATAGACACACCCTCAGCCGCAGAGGAGACATAAATTCGCTGCGTATCAAGCTCGTTTCTCGAGTCCTCGTCTCTACGCCCGCATCGAGCTGAATGCCTGAGTACGATTACCCCCTCGACGGTCATGAGCAATATCTTGACCACGCAGAACAGCATCACAGATTTAAACTGGGTTGACAGTGATTGGCACCGATATCCACCTATGAGCAACATCGCCACCCCGTTGACCAGCCACACTTCTCAAGACAATCAACGCCGCCAACAAGGCTCCGTCGCAGACGTCTTATCGACCACATCGCGCTCAGTCCGCCCGTCTAACACAGACCAATACATGCACTCAACGAGTTCATCACGCGGAGGACGCGTATCACCCGGGGAGAGTTTGCTTTCCAGGGATCCCCCCCGATCAGCATCTCAGACATCCCAGCGCCTTCCTCCCATGTCCCCGCTGGACACTCCCAGAAGTTACCACACCCCACAATTCGAGTCAGGGAGTCTGAGTTCCAACTGGCCACTTCCGGAAGTGCGCCAGCAGGCTGCGCAACAAAATGGCACTATGCAGACCGGAAGCCGTTCTGGGTCTACTGTTCCTGGTACTACTATGTCGCAGTCGACTTTTCAGCGAGCTGGGATACCTCGTCCGGGTTCGACTGTCCCTCTGATGATGGGTTCTCGACCCACGTCGATGTATTCTGATTCTTCTTCCGCGTCTTCTAGTCTTGTTTCCGCCCCAATGAGTCGTTCCAACTCTACCTCTTTCCAACAATCTGGCGGCATGTCTCGATCTAACTCCGTCTCTCAGCCGTCTTTTCAGCAATCTGGCATGCAGTCTGGCGGTGGCATGTCCCGTTCTGATTCCACCTCTCAGCCATTGCTCCAACAATCTGGAGGCATGTCCGGCTACTCTAATTCTCAGTCGTTTCAACAGTCTGGCATGCAGTCTGGTGGCATGTCTAACTCTAATCCTCAGTCATTTCAACAATCTGGCATGCAGTCTGGTGGCGGCATGCGTTCTAATCCTAGCGCCCAACAATCATTTCAGCCATACGATATGCCCCGTTCTAATTCCAACGCTCAAACGTCTTTTCAGCCCATCCCCTACGACATGCCTCGAAACCCTATTTCCAATTCCAATTCGCAACCTAGCGGCATACTCAAGAATTCCAACACTCAGCAATCTTTCCAATTATACGACATGCCTCGGAATTCTAATTCCAATTCTAATTCTCAGCCTTATTTTCAACAATCCGGGGGCATATCGGGCGGTGGCATGCCGAAGTCCAATTCTAACACCCAACAACCTTTCCAACAATACGACATGCCTCGAAGCTTCAATCCCAATCATAATTCCCAACCGTCCTATCAACAATCGACCATGGGCTCTGGCGGGATGTCTGGAATGCAGTCCGGTGGTATGCCCAAGTCAAATTCTCACGCCCAACAATCTTTCCAACAATACGACATACCTCGGAGCTCTAACTCTAATTATAATTCCCAGCCGTCCTATCAACAATCGAGCATGTCTAGTATGGGCTCTGGCGGGATGTCTGGAATGCAGTCCGGTGGTATGCCCAAGTCCAATTCTAACACCCAACAATCCTTCCAACAATACGACATGCCTCGAAGCTCTAATTCTAATTCTAATTCCCAGCCGTCCTATCAACAATCGAGCATGTCCAGCATGGGCTCTGGCGGGATGTCTGGAATGCAGTCCGGTGGTATGCCCAAGTCTATCTCTAACGTCCAACAGTCTTTTCAACCATCTGCTGGCATGTCTGGCATGCAGTCCAGCGGGATGCCTAGCGGTGGCGTGCCCAAGTCCAACTCCGTCTCTTTCCAACAACCACTGCCAGGCGGGGCCTCTTCTGTAAAGCAACAAACGGCCATGAACACCCAAGCTAACAAGATGGCCTCCACGCCGCTTCCTAGCCTCGTGGCTCCGATTCCCAGTTTGGGTTCTACCATGCCTTACGACATGCCACGCTCAGGTTCCACTATTCCTTACAATAATCCTCGTTCGGGCTCTACCATGCCCTTCGACGTCCCTCGTTCAGGCTCTGCCTTGCCTCGTTCGAGCTCTACCACGCCTTACGACATCCCTCGTCCAGGCTCTGCATTGTCTCGTTCGGGTTCTACCATGCCTTACGACATCCCTCGTCCAGGCTCTGCATTGTCTCGTCCGGGTTCTACCATGCCTTACGACATCCCTCGTCCAGGCTCTGTATTGTCTCGTTCGGGTTCTACCATGCCTTACGACATCCCTCGTCCAGGCTCTGTATTGTCCCCCACAGTCTATATGCCGCAGACATGTCTCGGTTCGTCTGGATTCTCCCCCTCGGCGTTCCAACAATCCGGGATGCCGCGTTCAGCTGGGTATAACTATGGTAGCATACCACAACAATCTTTCCAGCGTTCGAATTCTGGGTATTACCCCCAACCATCGTCGCATTATGGATCTTACCCTCCCTCAGCATTTCAGCAAGGCGGGGTACCTCGTTCTGCAGGATACGTACCCCATCCAGCTGCGCAGAGATCTTATTCCCATTCCGGGGCTGTTCAACAGGCCGGCATTCAGCCCATTCCTCAAATGGGCAAACCGTCCTCGTCCTATTCACTTTCTGGGTTTTTCCCTGACCAAACTTCCCGACGTCATTCCAGTAATTCATTCGGGAACTATCGTTCCACTTCGCGCGGACGTTCAAGCTCACGAGGAACCTCTCGCTCCAGACGTTCTCGTTCCAGGAGCTCGCGTGGTGCAAGTCGGCGGGGTTCTCGATCTTCGAGTCGATCGACTACTTCCCGTTCTTCGTCCCGCCGGGTGCGTAGTTCGCGCTCCTCGGGGAAAAGCTCAAAGAAAAGCTCGAAACGGCGCTCGGGGAGGAAAGGGATGTCAATTGTTTATGGGACGGGGTATACTACTGTTCACCCGAACGCGACTAGCCCTACGGTGATCCAGCCATCGCCTACTGAGCCGATCGTGGTGCCGCTCCATGGGGGGAAGCGGGGGTATATGGTCGTTCCGCCGATTGGGATGAACTTGCAGGTTTATGTGAGTCATAATTGTGATATGTGCTCAAGAGGTACTTACGATATTTGATTAATTTGCAGGACACGCGGAATTTGAAGCCGAAACAGCACAAGAGCACGAGACTGAAAAAGCATCATGTTCAAGGTGAGAAAAAGTCGTTGATGGGGAAGCTCGCGGGCGGGCTTGTCGCGCCGTTCAATGGGGGGGAGAGAGGGAGGAGTAGGAGTCGGAGTAGATCGCGAGTGCGGAGGACTGTTTCTGTGTACTAACTCTCATATGATGGAGTAGCGTCGTAAGTACTAGTAGATCACCGAACTTTAACAGTAGATTTTGGGTACGTATTGAATAATAGGGAACTCACAGTGGAACTTTGAATCTCAATTGGTTTTTTCTTCTTGAGTCGTGTTTCCGTGTCTACAAACTTCCGCAGTAGGTACCAGTCTGTACCAGTGGGCAACTAGAACCAAGAAACGAAGCGGAAAGTGTGCATGACCGCCTTCGCGATCCTCCCTGGACATATCGGCAAGGTTTTGTTAAATCCATGATATACATCCTCGAGCGAAGAAGGAAGCCGCCTAAAATGGCCGTTCGAGGAGAAATAACACACCCACCCCAAATCTACATTGACAAGCTAACAATGCAAGCCGAAGCTGCCAGCCTTTAAATCCAAGTGTCCAAGTGTCGCCGAGTTTCGAAGGTGGTATAGGGTATTAGTATCACTCAGTAGCAGAGGGTACAAACACCGCCCTCAATCCCCTATCCATCTTCCTCAAAAACGCAACTATGAGCCACCCAAGCTCCGAAGAGTCACAAACCTTCCTCACAAATCGTGTCCGAAAAGACGGTTTGGGGATACGGTACGCATCCCACTGACGAACAAACTCATCTGGCAAGCCCTTCCAACGGTCCCACTGTCTCCAAGTCACCATCTCTTGAAAGATCGGTTGTTGAGCCAATGTTTCTGAATCGAGTTGACTGTGGAAAGTTTCGAGGAAGGAGAGAGCTTCTGCAGCTGTGATGTGATGGTACTTACCTGGAACCTATTGGCAAGACGAACACCCAGGCACCCTACGTCGTATGCAAAGGGATTGAAGTCTAATTCAGCCTCCCATATCACACCCCACGGCTTATCGGCTACCCCCGGGATACATTCTTCTATGGGTAATCGGTATGAGGAGAGTGGTCTGCCGGGGGGGGCAGCATTATCGAGAGATTGAAATCAAAGAGGGCATATGATGAACGACCCTTCGCCCGAAGTTGTTTTCGGATAAGGTTTCTCTCGAGACCTAGGAGGTCGCAGATGGGGAGATGGTTCATGAGGGCGTTGAACCAGGTGATGTCCTGGAAGAAGGAACGAGCGGAAAATGACCTAGTAGGTCATTTTCTTTTCATGTCATTTCAGCCTGACCACTGACTATGCAGTACCACTTTTCAAGGGTTGGACTGCCAGTGGATCTTGGTATCAATGACTGGGTTTGTGACCCATGTAAGAGCATGAAGAAAAGCAGAGGAAGGGGTGGCAAATGAAGGATAAGATGGCGGCTGACATCCCAAAACATGTTACTATTTATAGATTTTACCTATATATGGAAGGTTGTTCCCACGCCTGGTTGGTTAGTCCGGCCATATTGGCCTTACCAAAAAAATCAACATGATATATTAAATTAAAATTGTGCTCCCCCCTTGCATACCTGTCAGGGCGACGGAAAAAAAAATACATTTTTGAAATCAAACAGGAAAGAGTTTTTCCCGTCCAAAAAAGACAAAAAATAAAAGCTTCTTCAATCTTACCCGTCTTTGATACTCATTTGTACTTTGAACAACGGAAGAACGAGTCATGCCAGGCGCCATAAGTACGCACCGTGGCCGCAGTGTGCAAGGGTAACCACGTGACGATACCCACTTGACCATGACCTCGACGTACCCCATCCTCCCCTCCCGTCCTATCCTCCCGCACATCGGCACAACCTGCTCAAATCCACGCTGTGCGACCCCCTTAGAGTTCCCAGTACCATCTCCATACCCGCACCCAGGAACTCTACTCCAGATCCGATGTTTTCAATGTCAAACGATTGTTTCGCATGCTTTTTATCCAACTCAGGTGCCTTCATCGTCGGTGACATCTTCGAGGTCTAGTCCAGGCTTAGGTGGAACCGGAGAACAGCAGCAGCAGCAGCAGCAGAGAAAGGGCCGGAAGATTGGGACGCAGGAGAGGCCACTTGAGACGGGGTATTATGATATTTTGGGTGTCCCGGTGACGGCGTCGACGGACGATATCAAGAAAGCTTATCGTTCGTTCTCATTCCATTTTCATTGTACTTTCTCGCCAACAACATCGCAGGCCGTCTAGCAATCAAACATCACCCAGACAAAAACCCCGATGACCCCTTAGCAGAAGACCGCTTCAAGTCCATCGCCATCGCCTACCAAACCCTCTCAGACCCCACCCTTCGCAAGAAATACAACGAGTTCGGTCCGAAGGAAAGCGCTCCGGAGGGTGGCTACGTCGATCCTGAAGAAGTCTTTGGTGCAATTTTCGGTGGCGACAAGTTTGTTCCCATTATTGGTCAGATCAGCTTGGCAAGGGATATGAAGAGCGCGCTGCAGGAGGCTGAGGAGGCTAGTGATGAGCCTGGTGAAAAGGCGAAGGTGCTGGATGCAAAGGGAAGAGAGGTGATTAGCCCTGAGGAACGTGCGAGGAGGGAGGAGAAGGAGCGCGTGAAGGCGGAAAAGGATAGGCAGAAATCTGCAGAGGTTCGTTCAATTTTCTTTCTATCATTTTCTTTTCTTTCCATCATTTCGTTTCTTTCTATCATTTCGTTTCTTTCTATCATTTCCTTTTTCCCCCCCTCATTTCGTTTCCTTTCCTTTTCATCATTTCGTTTTCTTTCTTCCTTATTCAACCACTCTTTTAGAAAGCAGCTGCCCGTGCGGAAAGGGTATCCAAACTCGTCGAAAACCTCGAACGCAAACTCGGCATATTCACAGAATCAGCTACAACTCCATTAGACATAAACCCCTCCACCTCCTCCGACCTATCCACCAGCTGGCGAACTATCTGTTCGCTTGAAGCAGCTGACCTCTCACACGAATCTTACGGCGTCGAATTGCTCCACTGCATCGGCTTCGTTTACGTTTCAAAGGCCAAACACCACCTCGCGACAAATCAGACATTGTTTGGCGTCGGTGGGTGGTTGCACAACGTTCAGGGAAAATATCATGTTTTTAGCGAAACGTACGTACGCCGTGCATCTCTTTCTAATTTTTTATGACAAGTTTTGACAGCGTATCAACCCTCCGAGCGGCAATCGAGCTCAAATCGGTATTCGACCAAATCCAAGCAGCCGAAAAGGCAGGGAACCTAAGTCCGGAGGAGAAGAAGAGGTTGGAGGAACAGGCGGCTGAGAAGGGGTTACAGGCGTTGTTCAAGGTATTCCTATCTACTTTTCTTTTCTTTCTTTTCTAACTAACACTCGCCAGGGAACGAAACTAGAAGTCGAATCCATCCTCCGCGAGACGTGCGACCGCCTCCTCTCCGACCCTGCTGTATCACGCGAAAAGGCGCAGCTGAGGGCGGTGGCGCTGCAGATTCTTGGAGAGGCGTATATGAATGTTAAGAAGGATGCGCCGGAGGATGGGAGCGATTATGTGAAGATTGATACGAGGAGTAGTCGTGCGAGAGAGGGCGGGAGGGCGTGAGCGGCCCAATAGTTGTGTTCATGAATATCATCCTATGTTTTTCTTGTACTTTACATTCGGAGACAGTCGTTAATGATAATCGTAGATATAGACAACTTCGTGAACTGAAAGAATAATCATTGCAGCGCGCCTGCGGGCGATGCGATTAATTACCGCCAACATTGTTCCTTTTTCAGTAGCTTTCTTGTTGCTCAAAAGTGCTCTAGCTCAGAACTGCTTTCTACTCTGGTTAAAAACCATATACTTCCCATCAAAAAACTCTTTTTTCCATTGCATGCCAGGACATGCGTTTATATAAAAACTTCAATATCGTGCAGGAAAATTAGTGATATACACGTTAAGAGGTGAATTCCTGTACCTTCAACTACTTGACGGCTGTAAGGAGTGAACTGCAAGGTTTACAAGGTTATCTGTTGTATCTTTTATACAATCAACTACTTGGAGGGATTTCTCATCGCCAAGCCGCAGCTGACGCCGCAACTCAAGACACATTTCGGACGCCTTTCTTCCGCCAGAATGGCTTTTATCGAGTCGCCGCTGAATACTTCTTGTAGTCTGTTGGGGAGAAAGAAAACGATAGATTAGATTATGATCGGCTTGTTTGGTGATCGTGGATTGACATGTGCCACCAAGGGGGTGTCGGGATTTTAAAAAAAGACCTAGGGTCGATTTTTTTGGTAGTGAGCGCTGGGCTGAACCAACCACCCAACGTAATCAGGCACGTGTCTATTTTAGGAAATATGACGTCACCGTTGTGACGTTGTCTTCCTGTCCTCGGGCCTCTCGACGTTGAACATGCATTGCAGACCCAATGCATGGGCACCTGCACAAGGTAAATACAAATGAGGTGATATCAGAATGGTTTGACATGAAGATGTAAGTATGTTTTACATTGAAACCCTAACAGAAAGTGGGTTTACCAATTGACCACATCCCACTGGATCACATTGCCGGTGGTCAGCTCTGCTCGGGATCCACAAAAGAAATCCTCCAATCGACAACCTTACGTTTTCATTTTTTGCACCGACCTCATGTTTCCTTGCTGTAACGGTTGCCACACTAAGGAAAATTATCAATGGTCCGATATTATTATTGTCTTATGTAAGCAGTCTTAGTTGTGTTTTTTGGCGCATCCTGAGGCATTTAGCACATCTTGAAGCTTTCTATCTATTATGTATAATTTATCCACCAGGAAGGCCGCCCATAATGTTTTTGGGCCAAAATTTTTGAGCTTCCAATTTTTTTTTAACGGCCTGATGGCCCAACCAACCAACCGGCCCCCGGTCCGGGATTATGATCCCGACACCCCCTTGTGTGCCACGCATCTTTTAAATTTTATAGAATGTCAACCTGATGTCAAAGACTCAAAAGCCACGGCAGTCTACTGGTGTTTGTAGCTGCTATTACACTGGACACATGACAAGATAATCTGCACTGAAATACTCTAAAAAATATCTTTTGAAAGTTCCTTATTTTTTTTCTGTTTTCTAGTAAGAAACATGTAATACATCTACAAAGATTGTTTTCAACAAATGAAGATTAAATACCTATAAAACACGTTAAAAACATATAGAAATTTACTTGAAAGATATTTGGTTAATTTGAATTGTCTATATATGTATCTCAGTATGTTCTACATGTTTTCCAACATATTTTATCAATATTTGACCTTCATTCATTGAAAAGAATCTTTATAGATGTATTAAATATTTCTTGGTAGAAAACAGGGAAAAAATAAGGAACTTCCAAAAGATATTTTTAGAGTATTCCAAGACAAATTATCTTGTCATGTGTCCAGTGTAATTACATAATAGCAGGTGGCTATGTGCTTATGTGATAGCAGGTGGCTATGCATATGCTTATGTGATAGCAGGTGGCTATGCTTTTGCTTATGTGATAGCAACAATCTCCAGCCTGCTTCTGTAATACTTGCCCTCTCTGCAGTCTTCCACTACATTTTTACATCATATAAAATCGACATTATACTGAGATTATTACATGAGTATGAGCTACCAAATTTTTATGCATTTTACTGTTCAAAAATTTGTTAAATCAGCAACATCAGTTGAAATTGACATTTTTGAATTCTGAACTTGCTACTGTGCCATTTTTATCAATTCAACAGTCACAGGTCATAGGCCATTTACAACTACCAAAATGACATGTGGGGTTATGGCAATTTTTGGTCAACTGCCAAAACAACTGGAAAAATTGTAAAGAAATCCCATAGAAATAACCCTGAGAAATCCAACAGACATTTCTCATGTTTTGGACAAAATTAACTCCTGAGTACAAGAAATTTGAAGTCTTGAAATAAAAGAGTAATACCTCATTGCTTTGATAAACATAATTTTAAATTGTGGCTTGTTAATCTTCTGAAATTTCAACTGAAGCTTTGGATAGATTATGTCTTTCTGTGTAAGATATTTTCAAGCACTTGCATAAGTCTTACACTTGACTGTATCACCCAGAAAATTTTACCCTATCTACTGGAAAGAATATTGTACAGCTGGTGTGTCCCTTGTTTTTTTCCCCCTTGTTTAGATGGTTGCATGATTATCTGGGATGGAGATTCTGATGACTTTTAGTTGTTTACAAAGCTTATGCATGAGAGAAAAACCAAGATCCAGAGCAAAGCTGCAATTATATGGAATGGTAATCATGCAAAGGGAAATGGGATGAGATTTTTCATTTTATAGCATCGCATGTCATAGTTTCACACATGAAAACTACTGTAAGTTATCATCAAACTTTCAGAAACAAGATCACAATGCCAGGTTGTAGATGTACAAATTAGAAAGAATCCTGTTTGGTCAAAACTAATTCAACATCAAAGTGGAAGTGCTTCACATGCACCCCACCAAAAAAAAGGGTTAACCTATATCCTTGAAAGTGCTCCAGAGCTGCCCAGATGTAGGTGGAAATGGAAGGATGGGCTAGTAGTTTACAGCTCATGTATAGAAGATAAGATAAGATAAGAAATATTCTCTTTTCTTTCCTCTTTATATTTTATTTTATTTTATTTATGTAATAGCAGCTACAAACACCAGTACCCTGCCAAAGCCACCTTTGAGCCACCTTGACAGCTAACTGCATAATTGCGCCTTTGTCTGTGCGTAAACATCCGTTTTAGGCCGTGGCTATGTAAACCATGACGCCGATTCACGCGCACTGCCCATTGCTCCAAGTTCTAGCACCGTTTCGGTAGTTGCTCCAAACGCTCCAATCCCGCCCGCACGTCATAAGGGTGCATCAGTAAGATGGCAAAATAGATTCCGGGTTTTACTGGTTTTGGAAGTTGCCGGGGTGTCCGGAAACCTGAAAAGGAATAGTCTAAGGGTCTCGCCGGTCAGGGACTAGTGAACATGTGCATCTTACGCTATTTGGGGGATAATTCTATGTGTGAACCCCCTTCACACTCTGAACCCTAGGGTTGATGCTGACAAAGATTTGTCAAAGTTTTGAGGGTTCCTCCTTTTTCGGTCAGTTTCGGCGTCACCGCCCGTCTGCCACATCTGTTGACAACGCGCGTTGTCGACTGGGCGGTGATTGCTGAGTCCTCTCAACGACCACGATGATGCCCTCCTGTGATCTCCCTCTATGAAGATTCATGTACACTGTCCATGCAGATCCAATTTCCTTGTTGTCAAGCAACTAGTTCTCAATCTTTGGATAGCAGATAGTTCACCGCTTGTCATCCCACAAGAAGTGGATCAAACTACAGATTGCGGCGGATGTGTTCGTATTTCGTGAGCTACCTTCCTCTCATGGTATAGCTGGTTTCTGACAATGCTTTCTAGTTCAACAAGTGTCATCGCAATGTCCCCACCGGTAATTTCTTCCAGAAGTCTGTTGTATATCAGTGGAATCGCCGCTCTTTGACGAGGTTTTCTAGTTTAACAAGCGTCACATTGTGATTTGCGTCGCAATGTCCCGACCACTACTTTATTCAAGAGGTCTGTTGTATATCAGTGGAATTGCTGCTTTCTCTGAACATATTTTCTCGATGGCTCAGGTTGATTTTCGCGCGTATGAGGCCTATTCAATGCCAAATCGTTATGCAGCATATTCATCAACATTCTTTGCCACCCTTACCCTCAAAGCTGCATCGGAACTTCTCTACCCAACCATCGCTCCACCAGGTTCCATCATCAAGAGGGATTTTGAGGAGATGTTCAATTATGAAGTCCATGCATCAGCTCCTGCTACAATCATTCTGCCAACCGACACCATCCCGCATGTAGATGATGTCCTACCGATAATCCGCATGCTTCCGAATGAGTTTTTCAAAGGAAAGCGATCCGTCACCCTTACACTTTCAGTTGGAGGTCAGGAGACTACATCCGTTTATCATTTTTCAAAGGTATGGATAAGTACTCTGCTCTCCTCAGTGTTTACTAATGGTTTTGTTGCTTTAGCTCCATCTGTTCAAGTTTATCAACAACAATTTTAATCCAGTTCACTTTTCAAAGCAGATTATGGAGTTCTTCTCGAGCTCGTCAATCCCCGATGCAACGTTGGGCCGCCTTCTTGATCAATATATATACACGCCAATCCAAGGGTTCTACGTCACTGACTTCCCATTATGGAAGTTAGGCTACCTGTTAGAAGAGCGTTGGATTGAAGAAGACATCATCAACGCCCTTTCTGAACTTGAGTACTTCAAAACTGCCATGTTGTCAAATTCTGACGACTCACCACCATCCCATCTATACCTCCTGACATCCTTCTTCTCAAATGCTTCTGCGTCCTTCCATGAAAGTCCCAGGGTTTTTACTCCAGAGTTGCTTGACTTGCGGGAGCGACTGCAGACCACTGATATAGTAACCTTTGGCTTCCTAGTTTGCAGTTCAGGTCATTATTCAGGTTATCATACGCGACCCTCTGAGCTCGCAATTGATCATGGAGACATGCTGGGATATCTTGCGACCTGTGATGCTCTTGAAGTGGTTAACTGGGTATTTTCTGACATCTACACATCTTGGCAATATATTTCTGAGATTGCGGTTCCTCAACAAACGTCCACTGGCAGCAGTTCGGGTAGTTGTGGAATGGGGGCCCACAACTTTGTCAGTGTTCGTAGTGATCCGTCTATCCCAATGTGGAATGCTTCACAGTCAGGCCAATTCCGACAAGCCGCCATTGAGGATTTGCTACGTTTTCATGACATTGCGACACAACGGAACAATGTAAGTCGAAGAACTTTGTCAATATTGAATCTAATCCTTGCTGTAGACTTTTGAGCAATGGACAGTCAGGTGCATTGCAACTGAGTCACAAAACGGGATTAGTGGATTCTACAGTTACCGTGATTACAATATATTTCGCCCATTGGTACGTTTCATCAGACTTTTTATATTAACTGGTTTATCTAACGCAACACTGGCAGCCTTCCCATCCCATTTTTGAGTTTATGCATACTATCTTGAAGGCCCTACCATTGAGATTTGAGCTCTTCAAATCTCCGCTCATTGTGAATGGCGTAGCTAGTCAAGTTCCCCTTCTGGGAAAGTTGTCTTCAGCTCCTCTTGGCATGCAGACAAAGGGTTTGGATCCACCACATGAAATCATTTCTTCCAAGTCCAAACCCCCACGTCTTCGTTCATCCTCACCTGAAGTTGAAGTTTTATCTTCTCCACAACCTCCCCGCAAAAGACATGCAGTCAAGGTTGAGCCTTCGCCAAAAAAAGAGAAACACTCACCATCTGTCAAAATCATTTCGCCTCTTCCAAAGGGCATTAAAAGAAATCGCTCTGCCTCTGTTGTCAGTATTTCACCTCCCTCTCGGCGTACTAAACAAAAAGTTCACATCAAGGCCACCTGCTCTCCATCCCTATCCATCATTAGTCCCCCTCGCGCTAGTTATAAAGTAGTAAAACCGATGTCATCACCTCTATCCAAGTGTGGGTTCATGCAGCAATCCTCTGGAACTCGCGTACCCATGGAATGTGCTGCAGTGCCTGTACCAGGGGTTGTTTCAGAAGGAAGTTTTTATAAAACATTAGAAGAGGCACAGGCTGCAATTTATGCACAGGAAGAACAGATCGGCCAAGTCTGGGTAAAAAATCAATCCAAAACAAAAGGTGGTCAGCTCAAAAAAATGACCTTCCGCTGCAACCAACATTCTCTCCCCAACCCCAAACACGATGTTGGAGTTGATCCCGCTGAGCATCGCCATGGAAAGTCGGGGAGAACTGGTTGCCAGGCCCATGTAAATGTCTGTCGGAATGGAGCGGGTTGGCTTGTCACGACGGCTGACTGGAGGCATAACCATGAAAGGACAGTTCCCGATGGTGGCTCAGTACGCAGACCTCCCACTCAGGAGCAATGTTCAGTCATTGCCAACCTGGCTACCATGTCGCAAGGTAACTTCATGCGAACACAGATCGGCACCATTGTCAAAAATCAACCATCTTTCCAAAAAGCGCTCGAGCCACATCAAATTTCAAACATCATGTGTCAAGCCCGTCGCGATGCACGGAATGATATTCAGGTGCTTGGGGGCGATGTTAATGTCATTGCAGAGACTTTGCGAAGGCGAGAAGAGGAGGAAGGTTGGCGCTTCAATTTGAAAGTTAACGAAGCAGGGACTGTTGTGATTATTTGGTGGCAGACTCGTCAACAATTTGACCTTGTTCAGCGATACCCTGACATCCTCCTAAACGACAATACCTACAATCGAAATAACTCCAATTATCCCTTAAACATCAGCATCATAATCGATTCACAAGGGCGATCACGCAATGGATGGTATGCGCTGCAAGAACGTGAAGATGCTGCTTCTTTCTCCTGGATTCTCCGAAACCACCTCGACGCAACAGGTGGCATTCCTCCTGAAGTTTTTACAAGTGACCGCCATGCATCTCTCATCAAAAGTGTCAGTGAAACATTACCTCTTACATGGCATATATTTTGCCTTCAACACCTTGGTGGAAATATTAGCGACCACGCTCGGAGAGTTCTCGGATCTGACTTTACTAATTTTACTCAAGATTTCTGGGCTACCTACTGAGCTATTTCACCTGATGAGTTTGAAAGACTTTGGCAACACCTCACTGCACGTTACCCAGCCATTCAAGCCTATCTTGATGACGAGATTTATCCCTGTCAAGAACAATGGGCATGGGCATGGATGAGTTCTGTTTTCACTGCTGGTGTTAGAACCAATGAGCAGGTTGAATGTGAAAACCGGGTAACAAAAAGCCTTGGGGGTCCAAAAACAAGTCTCTTCACGCTCTTCAACACCCTGAATGAAAGATCTGAAGGGCAAACAATACAGGAATTGGAACGTGTATGAAATGTGAGTTACTGCATGTCAAACATGTTTTGTTTGTTAGCTTATAATTTCGGCTAGTCGTCTTGACGCCAACACGATCGACCAATTGAAACCATCTTTCCTGGCCCACTCAAGATATTGCGAGAACATGCTGGTCCGTTCGCACTCAACACATGTTTCCGAGAGATGGAATTAAGTCTTACCTATTCAACGGAGGTTCTTCAACGCCCCGACAGAATTAATGACTGGGTTAGCACCAAATCTACACCTTTCTCTGTATCTGATGCTAACCAATAAGGCCATCAGACTGAGTATGCAATTGCTGTTGAGAATGAGCTTGGATATAATTGGGAAGGTGGAGAGGAGCGAGTGCACATGGATTTCGATTGCCATCCACTCATTTACTCACAAACTCTTTTAGAATATGATGAATCCATTCACAAATGATGCTGCTTATATTTCGACAAAATGGCTTCTTCGTCTCATTCTCCAATGTGGCCTCCGAGTGCGACACCTCCTTTGTGTCAAGCAGATGGGCACCAACACAAAACACTATCTTGCCGTGTTACCCAATGGGTGTTATGTGTGTGATTGTTGTATGGGGCTCAACTTAGGCCTGCCTTGCTGGCACTTCTTCCAGGTCATGTTGAAAATGGACTCTCTGCAATTCCACATTGGTCTTGTCTGAGCATGGTAGGCTTGTCACATTTTGTAAAGTAACAACTAACAAACTTTTTTGGTTCAAGATGGTATCAAAATCCATCACTCGACATCAGCCAAGTGTCCTCAGTGTCATTAAATGTTGCTCCTCGAGTGGGACCTGATGATCTCGAAGGAATCAAATCAACAGAACTTACTGGTTCCCTGATGTCAAATCCATTGGATCTGGCCACTCAACAAGAGATTCGTCATACAGAGACCCTCCCTGCTCATACCATTTTTCATGAGTTGCAGGCTCTCATCCGACCACTTGCTGGACATATGCAGACACAGGAGGAGCTCAACTTGGCAAGGGACAAGATCTGTGCTATCCAGTGAGTTGAACTATGCACCTCAACATATGCATACTCAAATCAAGCATGGCAGACTCGGTGATGCATTTACAGGGCTCCGTGATCCCCATGTCAGTAATCCGAAAGGGAGACCTTCCACCACCCGTTTAACTGGACCATCAGAAGGACATGCTCGAGGGGGAGGTGCATCCAGGGCTCACCACTTGACAAATCGACTGCAATGCAATTGCAGTGTTTGCCACCAGCCAGGTCACAACCGCTCGACATGCCCCCAATGCTGGGATTAGTTAATTATGTAAATTGTAATAGGTACACGTGCCAGCTGCTCTGGCCGTATGAACCAGGTTCTTGCATAGAAGAAAAGGGGGTTCACGCGGGAAGGGGGTTCCCACATAGAATTATCCCTATTTGGGCGGCGGGTTTCCAACAAAGGACACATAGGTTGCCAAGTAGTGTTGCCACGGCTCAGCTTAGCTCAGCTTTGGCTTGGCTCCCATCAGTTCCTGTATCCAGGGCTTAGGCACCAAGCTGAGCTGTATTTAGACTGGCTGGTTCAGGGTGGCTTTGGTTCAGCTACGGCTAAGCTGACGGCTCACATCCTATTTGGGTGCACTATGAAAAATAGAATTTATATCTCATCCACAATCAGTAGGGACTGAATAAATGCATTTATGTCCTCCGGAACTGTTACCTCCTCACTCATAGATAACTCCAATGTCTGTAACTCACTGGTCCTTACCATATTTTATCATAAAACCATGGCCTAGGCCAGGAAGGCCTTGTGCATAGCTCCACATACTTTTATGAAAAGTATATCATATATATCCCAGGCCCTTTTATGATAAGGATTTTTTTCATAAGAGGCCTTGTGCATTTCAATAACTTTTCATTGCAGGTCACAACTTATCATTAACTGCTTTTCATTGCAGTCCAGCCATTTTCATTGACCACTTTTCATTGCCGGCCAGCCCTTTTCATTATCCACTTTTCATTGCTGCTGGCATTTTCATTGGGTGCTTTTCATTGCAGGCCAGGATATTTCATTGGTAGCTTTTCATTGCTCTCTAGGATTTTCATTGGCTACTTTTCATTGCAGGCCAGCCTTTCTCATTGACCACTTTTCATTGCTGCTGGTATTTTCATTGATAGCTTTTCATTGCAGGCCAGGATATTTCATTGGCTACTTTTCATTGCAGGCCAGCTCTTTTCATTGACTGCTTTTCATTGCTGCTGGTATTTTCATTGGTAGCTTTTCATTGCAGGCCAGGATATTTCATTGGATACTTTTCATTGCAGGCCAGCTCTTGTCATTGACCGCTTTTCATTGCTGCTGATATTTTCATTGGTAGCTTTTCATTGCAGGCCAGGATATTTCATTGGATACTTTTCATTGCAGGCCAGCCCTTTTCATTGGCTGCTGTCAGGTGGGTCATCAGGAGAATGGTCACATGACCAGTTGCCTAAAATGGTTAAAAACAAAAATTGTAGTCCTGCACTGTAGCTTCCTGAATCTGTTTAAATTATGTTGTAAAGTGCTTTCATTGTAGAGATATGAGGTAAAATATTTTTCTCATTGCCAGCTTTTTTCTTTTTTTTCTTGCATTTTTCTCCATGAAAACAAAACCAAACAAGATGATTTCAACACATTTAGAAATCCAAGAGAAGAGGCTACAATTATCATATCGTGGGAAAATTGTGCCAAAAAGGAAGGTGCATACCTCAAAAGGGAAATTGACATGGATAGCCTGCAAAAGGCTACAAAAAGTCTGACATAGACTATAAGGACCACTGATAGACTACAAAAGACTACAAAAGTTGGACATACCTTACAAAGTTTAAAGTTTACTAGTGGACTATACAATTTACTAAAAGACTACAAAAGACAACAAAATGTTGGAAATAGACTACAAATTTTACTAACATAAGTTTCTAGTGTCCCCTTTTTTTAGACTACAAAAGTTTCTATTGTCTGCTATTTGAGACTACAAAAGTTTCTATTGTCTGCTTTTCAAGACTACAAAAGTTGTAGTGTCTGCTTTTTTGAGACTACAACAATTTGTAGTGTCCACTTTTTGAACCTACAAAAGTTTGTCTTGTCTGCCTTTTTGATACTACAAAAGTTTGGAGTGTCTGCTTTCTGAAATTACAAAAGTTTGTAGTCTGATTTTCTGACATACACTGTGTAGTGTCTTTGACTATGTTAAGGTTCATGGGGATATGGTTGAAGGATTGACATATATACATTGTTGCATCATTGGTTTTGGTATCATGCTCAACCTGTCTTTTGCATTAGGACAGTTGTCCTCTCTTTTTAAATCAGAAGCCACCATCCTATCTTTGACCTGGTATTCACATTAGTAGCCACTGTTGTATTTGACTATAGTTATTGTTGAAAGTGACTTCTCTGAAAATTATGAATTGTGTGTGATACCTGGCAGCCTATCCAGGCTTTTCATAGCATGATCCCTTGACACCTTCCAACCTTTCATCATTCAATCTTAGCTCATTCAGAAGGACTGATAGGTGAAGGATAAGGGGCAATTGGGTCATGTCTCTTTCTCAATCTTCATTGAGGAGTCATGTGAGAAAGACAATCTTGAAATTGGTAAGGCTTTTTCATCATGGACTAATGAATCAGTGTTAAGTATACTTTGAGAGAGGAGAGTAACTATTAACATGAAAGGATAGAATAGGCTCTACTTATGTCAAAGGCAAGTTGAGCATGATACAAAACCACTGATGCAGCAATAGATAGATGGGTGTCAAGCCAACTCAATCCTTCAGCCATATCCCCATGAACCTTAACATAGTCAAAGACACTACACAGTGTATGTCAGAAAATCAGACTACAAACTTTTGTAATTTCAGAAAGCAGACACTCCAAACTTTTGTAGTATCAAAAAGGCAGACAAGACAAACTTTTGTAGGTTCAAAAAGTGGACACTACAAATTGTTGTAGTCTCAAAAAAGCAGACACTACAACTTTTGTAGTCTTGAAAAGCAGACAATAGAAACTTTTGTAGTCTCAAATAGCAGACAATAGAAACTTTTGTAGTCTAAAAAAAGGGGACACTAGAAACTTATGTTAGTAAAATTTGTAGTCTATTTCCAACATTTTGTTGTCTTTTGTAGTCTTTTAGTAAATTGTATAGTCCACTAGTAAACTTTAAACTTTGTAAGGTATGTCCAACTTTTGTAGTCTTTTGTAGTCTATCAGTGGTCCTTATAGTCTATGTCAGACTTTTTGTAGCCTTTTGCAGGCTATCCATGTCAATTTCCCTTTTGAGGTATGCACCTTCCTTTTTGGCACAATTTTCCCACGATATGATAATTGTAGCCTCTTCTCTTGGATTTCTAAATGTGTTGAAATCATCTTGTTTGGTTTTGTTTTCATGGAGAAAAATGCAAGAAAAAAAAGAAAAAAAAGCTGGCAATGAGAAAAATATTTTACCTCATATCTCTACAATGAAAGCACTTTACAACATAATTTAAACAGATTCAGGAAGCTACAGTGCAGGACTACAATTTTTGTTTTTAACCATTTTAGGCAACTGGTCATGTGACCATTCTCCTGATGACCCACCTGACAGCAGCCAATGAAAAGGGCTGGCCTGCAATGAAAAGTATCCAATGAAATATCCTGGCCTGCAATGAAAAGCTACCAATGAAAATATCAGCAGCAATGAAAAGCGGTCAATGACAAGAGCTGGCCTGCAATGAAAAGTATCCAATGAAATATCCTGGCCTGCAATGAAAAGCTACCAATGAAAATACCAGCAGCAATGAAAAGCAGTCAATGAAAAGAGCTGGCCTGCAATGAAAAGTAGCCAATGAAATATCCTGGCCTGCAATGAAAAGCTATCAATGAAAATACCAGCAGCAATGAAAAGTGGTCAATGAGAAAGGCTGGCCTGCAATGAAAAGTAGCCAATGAAAATCCTAGAGAGCAATGAAAAGCTACCAATGAAATATCCTGGCCTGCAATGAAAAGCACCCAATGAAAATGCCAGCAGCAATGAAAAGTGGATAATGAAAAGGGCTGGCCGGCAATGAAAAGTGGTCAATGAAAATGGCTGGACTGCAATGAAAAGCAGTTAATGATAAGTTGTGACCTGCAATGAAAAGTTATTGAAATGCACAAGGCCTCTTATGAAAAAAATCCTTATCATAAAAGGGCCTGGGATATATATGATATACTTTTCATAAAAGTATGTGGAGCTATGCACAAGGCCTTCCTGGCCTAGGCCATGGTTTTATGATTTGGATGGTAAGCACCACTCTGTAACTCTGATTCTTTACTTGTTCCAGAGGTGAAATCGAGCCCGCATCCTCAATTGATGGCAAACTTGAGCATCTGCAAAGCTTCCATCAGTTCAGCGTTGATGCGATTACGATGAGGTGCCATGGTCTCTTTTGCTGAAGAAAAGACACGTTCGCATGGGACTGCTGAGCCTTGGATGGGCAGAAAATCTAAAGCTGCAGCAAATAATGTAGGGAAGCGTAGCTGATTTTCCTAAAAGAACGTGAGCAAGTGCAAGCTGTGAATGTAACTCAGGGTACAAGACTTACCTGCCAGTACTGGATGCTACTCGTACCTGTATGTGCATCTAGAAGATATGCCTCGACTTCATCCTCCAGGTTGCGCTCTGAAGTAGCAGACGGTTGAGTAAACCCGAGCACTTCATCAGGTGATGCCATAAACACCAAGCGCGAGCGATCTCGCTGCCGCCGAGAAGGTGTGTTCTGGGGATCTTGAGCTGCAGGCTGGGGAGTAGTGTGCGAAGTGCGAGTACGTGCATGATGGTATGGTCGCATCTGTCAAAGTCAATGGTGAGGTATATGATTGTTGACCAATGAAAATTGCTTACCTCACGAATAAACAACTCCTTCGCCCATGCGACTTTTTCAGGTGCAGTTTTAGTATAATGCTGCAACTTCATTGACGGAGTGAGTACTTGATTTGATGTTCATGAGTACAAATATTGCAAGGGTCCAAACTGACTGAACTTACTCATCGCCACAACATATACAGGAACCAAGTTCACCCGCTCACGGTAAACAATGAGCTTGTTAAGGCCTTGTTGAATTATCGCGTCTGTCTCAGGATCTTCCTCCTGCTTCTCAATCCACTTCTGAACCATCGCCTCGAATGAGGGGATTGTGTCACAGAGGGTAGGTGTCTTCTCTGATGATAAGCATTGTTGGAATGCATGTGGAACCTAGTTGGAAAGCATGATGTAACGCAAAGCTCCGAAAATCTACCAGAAAATTAACTTACCAGAAGAATTTCGCTAACTAGAGCAAGGTCGTCCCACTCTGAATCACTAAGCTCATATTTATGAAGGTCGTCAAACTCGGCAGTACTTAGAAATTTAGTGATGGCCTAAAATAGATTAATTCAAAAAGAATCATTGGAAAACATCAAAGACAAACCGCTTCGAGTTCAAGTGCATGTTCAATCATCAGCAAGGTTGACGACCAACGTGTATCAACATCACGGAGAAGCTGGAGCTCCTTCTGGTGCATGGTCTTCACAATCTCATTGAAGTACTGGCACTGTAGCGATGATGACCGAATCTGAGAAAATGAATAAAAGATATCCCAAAACTTCCACATCATGCACAAATGTACTGCATTGACAAGAGTGCTGATGAGCGCGCGCTTATCCTAGGCACGTGAACCCAAATTTCCGAACAAATTTCCGAATATTCTACCAACTTTGCGAATCTTACTCCACACGCGTCCCCTCCTGCCTATATTCGATTCAACAACACGTTCAGACGTCTTCACCAACTTTAGGATGTTCCATTTGCACGTTTCCACACACACCCCGAATATTCTATCATGTGTACACGCTTTAAATCTGAACTTCCGAATATTCAACAGCTTTGCGAGGATTTCGACAACATCTCCACACACATGTTCACAAGACATTCGCAGACTCATCAACAATTACCCTTTCGCTTTCTCGCCACTTCAGATGTATCTTCACACATGCCCGAATAGTTGTATTGCGAAAGAATGCGCACAGGCACATACTCCGGCATTCATCCATTCCCATCAATCCGGTCTTATTGTTTGCACATTTGGAGTTTAGCTTTAACCTAGGATCAATCGCCATGCACAGCCAGTCTTTGCTTCCATTTTTCGAATATATTGGTGCCTTTCCACCCCTTACTTATTCTTCTTTTATTTTATATTCATTTTTTTACTTCTTTTGCATTTCTCTGATTTTGCTCTTACTATCTTCATGTTTCATGTTTCGGAACTTCTTATCTTTGTTTTTATCTTTCACATTTCCTTTTTTTGAATATTTTTGAATATTTGTACATTCATGTATTTGTAGTATCATAGTACTTCGAAATAACAAGTTGTACTTCACCCCTCGATTCGCATCTCGTTCCAGCTGATAATCGTTTCAGCACTTCGTTATACTCGTTGCCATCGTCCTGCACACTGTGTGCACTTGTCAACCTTCGCATTATTCGTTTTCCGATTATTCCCTCCACTCACATTGTCCCTAACATCCTCATACTCCCCATACACCTTCGGACGCACTCCCACACATTAGGAGTTGTGTCTACATCACCTTTCCTGTTTTGAGAAGCCCAGAGAACTCCGTCTCGTGTCTTTCAGAGCCACTCGAAGCAACGCTAACCATTTCCGAAGGTTTTGTATTTGGTGTGTTTTGGATTTTCCATACACATCTACTGCGTTGCAGGCATATCAGTGCAAATGTTTGCAACAGGATTAGAATCAGAAAATACATCTCTATGCTCCGTAATTGATGCAAGCACTGCCTTGCACGCAAGATTGACGATGTGAGGAAAACAACTTTTGTGATTGATGAACACCAACCCATACTTTGAAAGATGATACACTCACCAGATCCTGTGTTTCACGGCATCGAAAGGAATGCACAGTGCCCGGAGCTCTGCGGCAAGCGTGATCATAAATGTATCGTTGTTTGATGTGTTGTCAAGGGTGACCCAGCCGATCTAAAAATTTGAATGAGCATAAATTTATAGAACGACAACACTTCCTTACCTTCAAGGTAATTTTGATTCGTTCGAGGACATGGAGGAATGCCTAAGCGAGATGTTCCCCAGTATGGCGACCTGGGCAGCGCTGGAATCCAATCAGGTCCGATTGAAGCTTGAGGATGTGCTGAGGCCCCTGCGGCGTTTGGACTGTCGTCGTCTCAATCCAGTGGGCTGTGACTGCCATAAAAGGCATTAGGTTTGTGTCAGACCACATATCCATTGTGGTGGAAATTTTTCTGAGAGAATTCTGCAATGCATATCAGCAAAGAAACATCTTCGAAACAAAAAGCATTTTCAAACCTTCATTTCCTTCTCTAGGCCATCCAGGTGGTCCTCCCAAACCTCAATGATCCAAGCGCAAATGGTCGAGCCATGGGGTATATCAGAGTCGCGTAGATCTTCTCGAAGCATGAGAAAGATTTGGCGGAGTTGCGGATTATCGATTACGTTCAGAGACTAGATTAATTTCAGTTTGGAAGGCCAATAAGCTCAAGATAACTTACTTGGTCATCTGCTACAATCCATTCCACAAGCGCATCAAAAAAAGCCTCCTGTGAAAATGCCTGAGGTTGAGGGGTGTTGCTGTCAGGATGGGTTTGTTGTCCTTGTTGAGATCCTTGCTGAAGTCGATGTTGTGTTACCTGGTACTTGACGGCAGCTGCGGTAATCGGCACCTCCAGTTGATCACATCCTTCAACCCAAGCACTGATATGGTAATCAGCGAGGTGTTTGCAAAGGGCACTTGTGCCTGTTGTAGAGGCGAATGAGATCTCATTTACACTTGAATTGATTGCATGTTGTTGTCTTCAATCATGAGAACTTATGAGACAGTTTAGATCAAAATAACTTACCGGCAAAACAGGCAACATCAACGGCCCCCATCATTTAGCACGAAAAATGGCCATATATCGTTTGCCCTGTTGCCCTTCCGGTTTCCGGCTGGTGCACGTTGGGGCCGTCTATGACAACCAGCCCTTGGAGAGCCACAGGACCGATCAGTTGGCCCGGGGCTATTGAGCTGTGATGCAGACGGACTTGGTGCAGCGAATGACTCAGCACTGAGTGGAGAACTTGGCGTCTCAGGTCGATGATCTTAAACAAGGAAGTCAGCATATTTTATGTATATAGGTGGATGGGGTGAACTACCGTTGGGGGCAGCTGGTGCATTTGAAAATGGATCGTCATTGTTCAGTGGCGTGGTTGATGGTGCAACGTCTGTTTCGCAAAATATTTGTGAGGTGTCGCATCATAACGCAAATGTAGTCACCTGGCTGTATATGATCAGTGGCAATTGACACCACTGGACTAGCTTCTGGAATTGCTGGAAGTTGAGCATCATGGTCCCCAATAGTAGTACCAGTGGGTGTCGGTTGATTCTGGTCTTCAGTTGGTAAAGAGGGTGGTTCAGCCTGGCATTGGCGACCGCGAGTTTGTGATGTGTCGGTTGTTGGGGCAGTCCCTGCAGCCGGCGTGGTCTTTCGGCCAGTTCTTCGCGTTGTTCGCCTCTTTTCAGCAGCTTGAGGTGCATCAATGGTGTTTGCTAATAGAAATGGAGCGAGAAATGAAATGAAAAGTTGAGAAGATATGAAAAAAGCAACACGCACGAAGAACAAGTTGGAATGTTGTTTCAATTGCGCCATTCGGCAGTAAAGTGGTGTTTTCGTTACGACGAGGCATCTTGTCCAATGATCTTTTCAGAACGAAAACTTGTGGGTTTAAATAGAAATCAAGACAACATGCCGTGAAAATTCTCCCTGTCGTGTAAAGCTGAAAGACAATGACACATGTTCAGCTGTTGAACAAATCCGGCAACGAAAGTGATTCGGTGAGACGAGGCAGGCATGTGGTTGCAATGATTGCTGCTGTGTTGGAGCGTTGTAAATATAAAATAAATACAACACATTTTCAACTCACCGAGGCTTGGAGAGAAAGACACCGACTCTATCACCTGTGATCATTGTGCTACATGGCAATCAATGTTCCCCTTCAAATGAATGGATAGTGTAAGTCAGCTTGTCGTTAGTAACACTATTGTCTTGAATTGTTAACTCACCGATGCTTACATCTTCGACGCAGTACTGTGCTCGGATCTTGCTCATGAAGTCAAGGAATGTCAAAGTTTACGACATACAAACATGGTGAGGTCAGAGGCAGAGTGAGTCGAGGTCATCGTTGGGCTCAAGTTGGCAACGTGTTGATTGATATCAAAGAACAAGGTTCAGTGTTTGGCGATGTCGTCACAACGGGGCAGTGCATGTATCCATTTGGATTGTAATATCAAAAAAACATTTGCAAAACATGGAGAATGCTACATTGTGGCTATGAGTTCTGTGTTCAGAGTTCTTGTAACCATCCAAATGCTAGCTAGTAGCCAAGGACGCTGTGCACGTCGTATAGTCGAGCCCACCCCAAGCAAAGTCTGTATACATAAACTGCGTAAAGAGACCAATCAGCTCAGGTCACAGTGAGAAGGAAGAAAGCTCAGACCTTCCATGTCGTGTACGTGACGTATTCCCATAATGATAATGACTCAAATCCGAGTGTCCAAAAAAACCTTGGCCTTCGCAGGGCTAAACACAGCGTACAGCGCCATTATGCCCCGCCAATCCGGGAAAAAGTGTCCTTGCGAGTAATGCATGCACGAGGTATTGTAGAAGTCGATATCGGCAGCAATGAGGCAAATGTAAAGTCATTGGCTGGCGTGGTGCCGTGGCTTGCCTGCAAATATGTCCCTTTTTGAGGAGAAGAGACCGCGAGTCGCGCTTTTGGGGTGACATGTCCATCACCAGGCTTCCCAGATGTTGCCGTGGGTGCGCCAGTCATGGTTGAATAGTCCTCCGAGCATGGCTTGCACTCCAGGGGTTGGACTGCGAGGTTTGGTATCGGTATTCCCAGAGTTTGAGCACCTGACCTTCTGCCTTTGCATTGATAGCGAATCCCATGTCTGGGAGCTAGACAAGAGTATGAGATAGAATGAAGACAAAGAGATGACCTCGAACCTTTTTCACAAACAATTCTATCATTCAATGAAATCCCTCAGCTCCCCCATTGACAAAATCGATTTCCTGGGCTGCAGGTTGAGACTTATCGACGAACCACCTTGTATCCGCACAGGGTCGGTTTACGGGCGCGTGTGATAGGGTTCATTCGGAAGGGAAGGTGCAGTCGAGGAAGTGGGGTAGGTATCCTGGTTCACGGAGCGCAGTGGCTGCTGGGAGCACAGCGGCTGATGAGAGTGTACTGTTTCTGCATAAACATGTGTTGATTTCCCTCGTTTCGGATAAAGGCAGGGAGGGCGGTGAGATTTCTTCTGGAAAGACGACAAGAAGGTACTCTTGATACCCTTTGTTGAACCCGACAAGGAAGAAGATGGCTATGGTGAGGAAGAGGGGGATATAGTTGGCAAGTCGTGATGCTATGGACAATGGACCGTTGTATGCGTCTTGCGTGTATGATGTGCGACGCTTGACGTGGTCGTCAATGGTCCCGGTCACTACCGTTGACATCGTGCAGACCGTGTGGTCACTGGAAAAAGTCCCTTTTGTCAATGCCTGGTGCAGGGACAATGGTAGAAGGACAACTTACGCATTTAGTGCTTGAAAGTCCAGTCCAGTCCGGTTTTTTGACCCAAAACGAAAAGACCGAGACCTAGACCGGTCCACACAGTTCCTAAAACCTCAAAAGACTGGTCCAGGACCGGTCTTTTGCAAGACTGCGGTCTTTTTCGGTCTTTGGACCAGTCTTGGTCCAAACTGGTTACAACCAGTTCAAGACCGGTTTTTCAGCTAAATATGCCATAAATTTTGCAATTGTGAGTCGGTAATTTTATTAACATTCTTTGTAGCTTCTAAACGAGTGCAAGAACGTTAAATTACGTTGAGAATTGATGTATATACAAAAATACTAAGGTACATCTGCTATTTTCACAAAATATTTTACGGTTTTTTATGTATCTTTGTCAGTTTTTATCCTAAAAATATGATCTTAGGTGCGTTTTGAAGGGTTTTTATGTAGGTACAAAAGACCGGTCTCAACCGACAAGACCGGTCCATGTAAACCGGTTTTTTTGCGGTCTTGTGATCTCAAATCTGAAAGACCAAGACTGCAGGTCCGGTCTTTTGCAGTCTTGGTCCGGTCCAGTTGCGGTCTTTTTGCAGTCTTGGGACTGGACTTCCAAGCACTATACGCATTACCTACCCTGTAGACCAGCTCAAGCTATGTGTTTGTTTGGCCACAGCTCAAGCCAGCTTCAAACCATTGATTACCAGCTTTCAAGCCAAGCCAAGCCTCGGTGTCTGGAAAGCCGATCCATCAGCTGAGCTTAGCCATTTCCAGCTCAGCTCAACCGGCTTAGCCGTTGTGAGCTGAGCCACGGCAACACTATTGCCAAGTTTCAATATTTTTCAATGTTTCGAGGTTTTTAGTGGTTTTCGGAGGTTGCCAGGGTTGAGAAACCCGTGGAAACTGATTTGCTCAATGTGGAGCGGTTGGAACTTGCCAACGTGGAAGGGCATTCTACCTAATACGGTTGTTTGTACAAATAAAGACGCACAAAGTAAAATTTAGATATGGTCTACGGGTATGCAGTTAGCTGGAAGCCACCCGCAATGCACGATCTTCCTAAAAGCTTACCAAAGGTACTGAGGCGTTTCAAAACCCGAAATTTTCTTATACAGTTGACCTACAGATAAGCTTTGACCCTGCAGAATTCAACATCAACCTCGAGGAAAGGCTTCCGGGTTCTGGGATGCAATGCGTTCTTGGTTCCAACAACACGGCTACGACCTCTACACGTATCGCATAGGAAAAAGCGGTCAAACCTCACATACATACCCCCAAAAAGAATTCAAAGGCGTTCAGGAATGGCCTTTTGCTCATCTTGGAGGTGACAGGCCAGATGATGAAATCCCCGACTTTGCTTCGTGGGCCGGTTTCAATGCGATTTCGCCTCCAGTCTTCATTATTCTGCATCTTACTAATGATACTAGGGACGTGTACAATTTGCCCAAGATTCTCAAGGCCGACACGTCGCTATCAAGTTGGTCAAGGGCGATTCCGACGAATATAAGATCAACCGTCTTTTAAACGAACGGACGTCTACATACACTGGAGTGATTCCCGTTCTCGCATTGTTGCCTTATGATGGCCATTGGTTTGTTGTTATGCCGAGGTCAGAATCGACGATATTCTTCTCTGCTACTTGGTGTTGATGAGACATTAGGTGGGGTCCACTAGACTGCGCGCCATGGTTTTCAAGCATGGCCGAGAAATTGAATTTCATGAAATGTTACTTAGAGGTGATCTATGGTACTACATACCGCTGAAAGATACTGATGCTTACAAGGGACTCGCATTCTTGCACGAACACCGAATCTTTCATCGCGTGGTACGTACCAACTCTCTATTCCATCCTCTCACTCTAAAATTTCACACTCGTTCCTTCTTCCAGGACATCACCTGGCTAAACGCCCTCATAAATCATCTTCCCAACCGCGACATCATAGGTCTCAAGACAAACCCTATCCGGAAACAACTTCGGGCAGAGGGTCGTTTATCATATGCCCTCTTTGATTTCAATCTCTCGATAATGTTGCCCCTTGGCAAACCACTACTATCATACCTATTGCCCATAGAAGAGTTACGTGAACCAAGGTACGACTTCACATATATCGAAGTCTGTCTACGAGAGACTATAGAAGAGTGCATCCCAGGGGTACCCGATAAGCCGTGGGGCGTAATATGGGAGTCTGAGTTAGACTTCAATCCTTTTGCATACGATGTAGGGCGCCTCGGTGTTCGTTTTGCTGATAGCTTCCAGGTAAGTACCATCACATCACAGCTCCTCGCAGCTCCTTCACTCAAATTTCGCGTACACTCCGTTGAACACAACACAGTACTTTACCCCCCTGATACCCATGCTAGCGCCCCTCTTGGACGGAATGCTCACTTCGGATATCGAAAAACGATTCACAGCTGCAGAAGGTTTCTCCTTCCTCGAAACTTTCCATAGTCAACTCGATTCAGAAACATTGGCTCAACAACCGATTGCTCGATCCCTCGTGACTTGGAAACATTGGGACCGTTGGAAGGGCTTGCCAGATGAGTTTGTTCGTCAGTGGGATGCATACCGTATCCTACAGCCCTCTTTTCGGACACGATTTGTGAGGAAGGTCTGTGAGCTTGAGCTTGAATGGCTCATAGTTGCGTTTTTGAGGAAGATGGATAGGAGATTCAGGGCGGTCTTTGCTGTTACTGAGTGATATTAAAACTCTGTGCCACTTTCGAAACTCGGCGACGCTTGGTTTGTCAATGTAGAATTGGTGCGCCAGTCATTTCTTTTCGAACGGGCATTCTTAGGCGTCTTCCTTTTGCAAGGATGGTTGTCATCGCGTACCTGGAAAGTAAACCTCTACAGCCTGCGGGGATACGAAGTGATGGTTCAACAAAAGCATCGGATCTGGGGCTGGGTTTTAGGGGGGCCGCATGCCGTGTATTCGAGCAGGCCTTGCCGATGTGTCCGGGGAGGATGGGCCGCGAAGGAGGTCATGCGGACAAGGGGAGAAGCTCACTCTGCCTTTGGAAAAAAAATTGAAGTAAGAAAGTTGGCTCACGGGCCGCTGAATGCTGACAATGCTGAGGACACTTTGAGGACACTTTCAAGTTAGCAACTGTGGAAGAGAGCGTATCCACCATTCCGGATTTGTTCTCGAACCATAACTGTTGATGATTGTCAGCACAATCGTTGGGGGGCAAATGAGATGAATTCACGTACGTAAGTTTAAATGTACATTAAAAGTAGGGGGATCGCGAATAAATACAGAAGAGGCGAGAAACGAGAGAAACGGTGGTGGAGGGGAATTTGGAAAAGGGAATACTCGACGCGTTTAGGTGAGCTGCCTAGCTGTCACCAGCGTATTGTGACCGCCTGCCAAATTTGGGACGCCGTCACCAGGATCTGGTGACATGGCAGCTTAGAACCCCGCTGGGGTCTCCTCGTTCCCTTGTGGCCGGTGGACGATGGGATTTTTGAACGGTGTTTGTTTAGCTTCAACGGTGGAGCCAAACACCTGGATTTTTCGCCATCCTAAGTATGTCGTTTCGCCCAAGCGCCACAAATCTGTCAAGCCTCAGATCGTCCTCGAAATCTTGGATTGCTCGTCAAGCGCGCGACCCATACGTAAAAAAACGACTTTCGGACCCTGCCTCGTATCGCTCCCGGTCAGCTTTCAAACTCCTTGAAATCAACGACCAGTGGGACAGCTTTCTTACCAAGCCTGACGTCAAAGCCGTTGTTGATCTTGGCGCAGCTCCGGGGGGATGGAGCCAGGTAGTCGCGGCCAAACTAGGCTGGCTTCACGATACCACCTTTCAGGAAGAGCCCGCTCATGACGCCCGCGCAATAGAGGAGGAGGAGGACTATCCTGAAAGGAAAGAGGAGCGGTGGAGACGAAGGGATTGCCTTCACAGTTCCACCATCCAGGAAGACCCCGTTCACGACGCCCGGGCAATAGAAGAGGAGGAGGAGGAGTATCCTGAACGGACAGAGGAGCGGAGGAGGCCAAGTAATAGTCGGAAGAATAAGAGAAAACAAAAGGTCGAGGTGGAGGACGAGGAGCCGTATGATCCACTGAACATAGATGACCTTGAGCCGTCTTCTGCGTTAACGGGCCGGGGTACTATCGTTGCCGTCGACCTTTTGAAAATGCAACCCATCCATGGTGTGCACGCCATTCAAGCCGACTTCCTGGCGGCGGAAACTGAGCGACGAATTCACAACCTGCTCAGCGTCAAGGGGAATCTGGAGTGCAAAGCCGATATCATCCTCTCTGACATTGCGGCAAACGCGTCTGGTAACGATGTTCACGATATCGAATCAAGTCTGGAGATCTGCGAAGCAGTATTTTGCTTTGCACGCCAATATTTGCGTTCTGCAGAGCGAATTGGGAGGCGGAGAGGCGGGGTCTTGCTGTGCGTAATTCAAAATTTTGGAAAGACCTCAATTTTCCTAATTCTCCTGCGCAGGATGAAGCATTTCGAGCACCCTCTTCTGCAAAAGTTTCGCGTGGAAAAGCTTTTGCCTAATTTTCATGACGTCAGATACATTAAGCCAGACTCGAGCCGCTCTGCGTCTCGAGAAGGATATTTCTTGTGCCAGGGATGGAAAGCCCTCGAGGAATAGCCTCCGCTACTTATCAAGCTATGCAGTGGCGCATCCTACGCTACAGGTGGCATTTGGAGCGGCAACGGCCCCGGGTTTATGAACGCACGTTGCAACGGTCTCTCATGACGCCGCGACAGCCATCAAAAACTCGGACCCGCTTCTCGAATTTGTGACAATATTATGATACCCGTGAAGCGCACAAGAGTTTTTCTATTTTGCCCTCCCCAAATTCAAACGGATTTCCGATTTTACGTGGCACAGTATATAACAAAACAAGTTAAGATTTCATGTACTTCAAGTTAATGACTAGGTGATCAAAGGGCAAAGATTTGCTTGTTGACAGTGTTGGGTTTTCAATCGCAGGTACTACTATGATTCAGTGGCAACTTGAATTACTGTACCATGCCATAGATACCGATTCTCACTGCTGCTGTTTCGACACATAAGCAGGAGCCGTTTACTCCACTTACCCAATCTATGGCCGTGCAAACAGCAGAGGGGATTATCTAATTCGAAGCTGATCAACGATTAAATTTAGCGCTCAGGCTCTCTTCCTTACCACCATCTCCGCCTCTGACCCCCTTCCGCCCGCGCTATGGCTGACGCCTTCCAGACCCAAACCCATCACGAAACACCCGGACGCGGAAAAGGTGGCAAGGTAAAATTGAGAAGAAATTTCTACCATAATGGCTTTCAGCTTCCCTTTTTTTAGGGTCTTGGCGGCAAAGGTGTCAAGCGTCACCGCAAGATCCTTCGCGACAGCGTTCAAAGTGGGCTGAACTCGCTGTCATATACTTTCTTTTAATACCCGAAATTTTTCAGGCATCCCCAAGCCTTCTCTGGTTCGTGTTGCCCGTCGAGGTGGTGTGAAGCGCATCAATACTTGCATTTATGCGGAAACACGTGGTGCCCTCAAGGTTCTCCTTGAGAACGTCCTTCGAGACACCGTGGCCTATACTGAGCACGACAAACGGTGAGAGGGACGGTATCTTATCCTCCTTCCAATTGATATATATGATTTTCTGGCAGGCAAACCGTTAGTGCTTCGGACGTCGTCCACGCTCTCAAGCGCTCGGGCCATAACCTCTACGGTTTCGGTGGTTGAACTCGTTACTCACCAGCCAACAGCTTATCACCATTTTTATCCATTCCCCTTACTTTTGTTGTTTTGTTCCTACACCACTGAAGCTATATGATATACCACACTGATATCCTTTTTTTATTTAAAACACACCGCCCGCCCGAAAAACAAGTAGTTGACACTCGAAAGCAACCTAGGCGCTAACAAGCTGGATTACTGACGCACCAGAGCGCAGAACTTCATTCACATCTATGATAGCACAAGGAAACGGTGCGAAGATTTAAACCTTCGGCTGACGGGCGCGGTATGTTAAATGGAATTTGAAGATGATCTTCTTGCAGTCTGCGACTTTAACTTGTTTTTCATCGGAGACATTCACAGTCCATGCTACGAAGGGTGACTGAATGATGTAATCACGTTGGTGATTCGGCTCAAGGCTAAAGAGGAACGCATCCCCTCCCACCGGCTTGCTCCCGATCAGATCTTCGCTTCCGTCAACGGAATTTCGTGCGTAGGTATAGCGGAAAGGCATCACAATCTGAGGCAGCTCAAATTTGTGAGTTTTGCCCTCTTTGTCAAGGTAAGTCGCTTTTCCTGAGGTAGATATACGGAGATTAATATGGGGCCTTTCATTCTCGTCGTCGTTCTGGCCTGGGATGCGGACCGCGCCTGGGAGGTACACTTCCAAAGCTCTGAGTCGAACATCCCACCAGTCGCTGCCGAATCCAAGCTTGGCTGAATTTTTGGGGTTGAGAGCAAACGTGAATTGATGCTTCTGGCGTAAAGACTCGAAGAGAGATTCATATTCAGCGGCGTGTAAGGCCATTACGATGGGAGGTGAGTTGTCCATACCGACGCTTGGGTTATGGGTCCAAATATCGTTCAGGTTCCGTACGTCCTGCCCCAGGAGATATACTTTAAATGCATCCTCGAGGACTTGAGGTGTGAGGCCGGAAAATGACTGGAGGGTCGCTAATGGCGTGAATACCCTAGAGAACGACAGGGAGGCACAATTCATCACCCGGCCCGCGTTGTAAAGTGAACGAATTGCCATCTGACCCATATCGGAACATGCCCTGGTCAGGAAGGCATCGATCAACTGCAGCTCGTCATCAGCGAAATTGCCAGTGCTCGCTTCCAAATTCTCTGCATTCTTCGTGTAACTGTCAATATGGATGTCCGAGCTCGAAATGCTGAGATACGTTTCATTGTAAGCGTCAAGGAGGTCGTTCTTGTCCTGTATGGCATCGATGAGCTCCTGGTACCCGGTTTTCACTGGGGCCGTTGCTTTAATTTTGGTCAGGTACTCCTCCGACATTCGTTCAAATTTTTCAGTTTGAACCCTTATCATCGAGAGGCCTCCATCAGAAATTCCCTCCTTGTGCTTTTTAAATGTGTCAGCCAGGTCATCTTTGAGCTTCAAACTGTTCTCTTTCAATGTGTCGATGCGGTCATATAGGTAACTTTTTTCGATATGGCCACCGAATTCTGTTGGTAAAGATTCGAAGCTTGCCGCATAACTTTTTTGGGCAGCAACGGCCATGGTAGCAACAGCACCAATGGCGAAAGCAGGACCCTAGGTCCCAGTGAGTTAAATACTAAATTCCGTGAAATTGGAGTAGAACTCACCGCATGAGGACTAAAAAAGAGTGACACCGTTCCGAGCGCATTCAAGATTTCTGACACATCGCAATTCACCTCTCTCCGAATAGAATCCTCGAGATCTGTCAGCTTCCCACGTAATGCCGACAGTTTAGAGGACACATGAGCCTTAGCCGAAACAATCTTGTCCTTCAACAATTTCAAGTCCTCAATAGCTTTTGTGCGCTTCGACAGTTCGGATGTGACTTGCGCTGCAATTCCCTTCAGTTGAACACGGATTTCCAGTCGTTTCGCGGCTCCCTCCCGAAGATACTCTCGGACAACCTTGGCTCGGCTCGAGATATCGTTATAGTTCTTCAAGATTGACTCAACCTCCCACAAGCCGAGATGCGGCTGTTCAACAGAGATGAGACTGCAGTCGAAAATGTCCTTCATCCCGTTGATCCTGCGACATAGCGTACCAAACGAGCTGTGCACTTCTTTCCACAGCAACGTATCCGGCCCAACCGTGCCTCTATTCTTCTCATTCGCATCAAGGTCACAGATGCTACTAATCCAAGCGAGACTCCCCCCGAAGGGTGATTTGATCTTTTCGACGGCTTCGAGGTTTTCGGTCGAGTGATAGAACTGCGAAGAAAAATAGACGAAGTACTCGAAGGAGAGACGTTCAATGATCATCAACAGCTGCCGGGGCGAGTATTTCTGAAGGCCTAGGAGTACATTTGCGTCGGCAGGCACAATAGTGACTTTCCCGGCCGATGGCTGGGCTCCCGCAACGCCAATGGCTGCAACTCCTTGAGACCCCGTAGCGCCCCCGCGGATAGCAGCGGGATCGATGAAGAACTGTACGTCCCACCTGCAACCAAAGCCAAGTTCAATCCTGCAAATCGGCTTCGACTTCACATAAGACTCCACAGGCTTTGGCGAAATTTCAGAAAACAGTATTTCGGACCACAGCGTCTCCTGGCAATCCTTTCCAGGAGGGCCCCCCAGACCACCTTCGCCAGGCTCCCCATTTTGCCCGGCATCGGCTTGTATGATGAACAGATTTTCGAATCGCTTGAATTTCTCATCCTGCATGGGAGTCTCTCCGTTTACTGTCCAGATAATGTTGACATCGCCACCACTCCCACCATAACCTGGTCGGCCAGCCTTTCCGCCATCTCCGCCCGCCCTTCCTGGTAAAAGATCGAGCATCCGCCGAAAGTCACGCTCGGGCAGTGGCACATCGCCAAACCCACGCCAACCATTTCCGCCAGTGCCTCCTTGTCCACCATTCCCACCCTTGCCCCCCTTTCCACCTGTTGTGACAATCTTGAATAGGTCCTTCGCATCCGCTGGAAGCTGCAAGTCACCGTTGAAAGTAAATTTGCCGCCAGCAAACCCTGTCCCGCCGTCCGTGCCATCAATCCCTTTTGAACCATCGGAGCCGTATTCTTTAGCCTCGGGCCTTTCAAGTCCCACTATGTATACCCGGTCCGTGCCATGATCAGCAATTTGCGGCTCAGCAGGAATTGAAGATTGAGCCTCGCCGGTGAGATCAAATGTAACGGGCGTATTCAAATCACTTGGATGAGAAACGAAGATGACTGAACGACATGAGATGGTGATGTCCTTTGTTCGATAGAGGTATTTCGTGCCCCTAGCAAACACGATATTTTCCGCATGTATGACGATGTGCAGTGGAGAATCTTTCACCATTGGAATGTCGACGGCGATGGTACCTGGTGGTAAAAGGTTCTCAAAACTCGTGTCAGCACCATTGTTATTGGGGCGTATGAAAACGCTGCGATATCCTAGCAGATATGTGGTCGCGAAAGTGGTTACGCGCTTCTGATATAGAGGGTCCTTGCCGATTTCTTGTACGCTCCCAGTCGCCATCTAGTCAACATCAGCTTGTAGCCTTGCAAGAGGCGAAACGAGTGGGCATACTGATAAGGGTTCCCGCGGTTTACTGAAAGAATGCCTACGTCAAAAGACGCAAGTATATATCCTAGATCGGTGGGAACCAGTGGTTAGGTATAGAGAGGCACCCGAGTCCTTGAAGGGTACTTATTGTTCATCAAGAAGTACGCGTCCAAACACCCCCTGCAGGCTGCGTTTTGCGTGCCTGTCAAGTTCCTGTTATTAGCTTCCATTATCTTTGAGTCTCGACACAGACTTCATGGCTCGAGAGTCGAGAATTCGAATCAACTTGTCCATGGCATACGACTTCCGATAAGACCCAAGTAGTGACTTGAAGAGACTTCAAGCACTTCAGTGGTGAGAAGAATGGATATCTACATATTGGTAGCAGATCGGTAGGGTTGCGGGTCATTTGACGTGATCCGGATCTGTCGCAACCTGTAACGGCAAAACGGCATTCGTTGCCGGATTAAGTAGTATAATTATATACTAGAGGCTGACACTTAGCAGCGGCAGCAGGCACCTTGCTTGCTGACAAATACGCTGCTTTGCACCAATACAATGTGACTTTTTTTTCGTAACAAAGGAAACAGTGTTCAAGAGCTATAGTGCTACATAGTTATGTATATAAACATTGGAGCTGGCACTAAGAAAGAGACGATGATATCATGTTTTGAAAAGACCAGTTGTTTGCACCGGTTTGCTCGCTCGCGTGCGCCATATGCAAGAAAAGAGCCCCATGGCCCGTAGAAAGTTTGTTTGTTCATGCTTGCCCGCTCGCGTGCGTGATATGCAAGAAAAGACCCCCATGGCCCCTGGGTAGTTTGTTTGTACCTGTTTGGTATTTATGACCTTGGGAGACCTTGACAAGCAAGGTGATCACTCATACATTAAATTGCTGATGCGTTGCAAAAAATTGCGTAGTGACAACCTTTTCGGAATCAGTGTTTTGAAAAGACCAGTTGTTTGCACCAGTTTGCTCGCTCGCGTGCGCCATATGCAAGAAAAGAGCCCCATGGCCGGTAGAAAGTTTGTTTGTTCATGCTTGCCCGCTCGCGTGCGCGATATGCAAGAAAAGACCCCCATGGCCCCTGGGTAGTTTGTTTGTACCTGTTTGGTATTTATGACCTTGGGAGACCTTGACAAGCAAGGTGATCAGCTGTAACAGATGTGCACCTTCCTTTCAACTTTCAACACCTCATCGCGTGTCTTCTCGTCGCCCCTTCCAGATGCAACCATGTCCAGTCCAGAATACA